TAAAAATTATACGTATATTTCTCGTAATCGAATATTCCTATTATTATCGATTTATTTATTCGCGTTTTCTCGCGAATTTTAAATCGCGATTTATTTTGTAATTTAATTGTTGATTTACATTAAAGCTTATTTTATTTTTTCGTATTTTGAATATTTCCTTTGACAATCTACACAAAATGCGCTAATAATGCAAATATTTTCTTCTACAATCGAAGAAATGATCAATAATTTTATTAATGATTCTTTTAATCATGATTATATATATTTACGTTACATAAAACTTATTAAATTCTATTATCGCATATCGATTATCAATGATAAATGTTGCATAATTAATCATCGCTAATCGGGCTTGTCTGGACCATATAAAAATATTTAGTAAATTTTATATTATATGTATATTTTAGAGACATTTTCGTGTATTAAATTATTCCATGTAATAAATAAAAATTATTTTGTATTAAGTTTCAAATTATATTTTATTTGAAATCATTTCTTAATTTTGCATAAATCATACAATATCTGGTAAAATATTCGTTTTTCGATTATCTTACCTTAATAATTTTATGTACAAAATAATGAGAGGAATCAATTGGTGTAAAGAAAACACATAGTTGTTTTAAAAAAAAATATGTAATTGTTAATTGCAAATTACATATTTTTTTCTTAAAAACAACTATGTTTTTTCTTTACAGCAATTGATTCCTCTCATTATTTTGTACATAAAATTATTAAGGTAAGATAATCGAAAAATGAATATTTTACAAGATATTTTACGGTTTATGTAAAATTAAGAAATGATTTCAAGCCTCATAACTCGAAAAGTAATCAATGAAGAAATATTTTATTATAGTGTTTTGGAAAGCTCTCGAGATAAGCTACACGAATATGTAATAAAAAATAGGGAGTTCCATTTAAGAAATTGACGGCGATCTTCACATGACTTTCAAATGACTCTCCCATGTCAAATCATTGCCACTATCTGATGGTCCCCTTCAAGCCATACAATTTTTGTCTGAAACATTTCTGTCTAAAGTGCATAGTTTATGAAATATTCGACCGGTCCGGAACATTTTGGGACACCCTGTATATTCATCAATAAAAAGGGATGATGAATATTAAACTGTAACATAACTTTTAGGAATGCCACTTTTTCTCTTTAAATTTCTTTCTATCTAAATCAACTTGATCTTGATATTCTGGAAATCTAGAACAACCGAGAAATAACAATGATCGACATTATAACAAACATGTCAATAAAACAACTTTTAAAATCAAAATAATGTGAAACCAGATTTAATAAGCGTTTTATTCATCAATAAACACAATATTTGATTAAATTAATCCCCGCAATATATATTTGATTTCGAAAGCAAATATTTTTGAAAAAAATTTTAGAGCAACCAAGAAATTGTATTTTATACTTTTATTTTCTTTCTTATACGCAAACAATTCATTGCTTTTGTATCTTAATTTATTGGCCAGATATTGTAAGCTTTTTTATATTAAATGTCTAAAATTAATATATTTTTACATTATACACATAAATAGGTTAAAAGACAGATTTTGAAAGAGGAATTCAACTGACATGAATTTCGCAATATGACGTGTACATATTATATATAATAATAACGTTTTTTTTTTACATTCCATAAATGATTACGTTCCATAAAATATTATTCCAGTGAAAATGTGAAGAAAAGAAATTTATCGTTTTTAGATAATTAGTTTTCAAATTTATCTTATTTTAACATATTATGTTTTTTTTATATAAGTTTTTGTCTCCATAGTTATAGTAAAAAATTTTCTTTAATTACTGCTATTATTACGTATAAAATAGAAACAGTATATAAAAAATCTTACATAATCTTTTATTAAAAGAATCTAGCTTTAAGATAAAAGAATCATAATTATTCAGTACATATTTCAGTAAATGCAATGTATAAAATTAATTCAAATTGATTTCATTAGACTAATTAGATTTAATCACACATTGGCATAATTTAATAAAAATTTCTTTATTAGATGTTCGATTTTAAATTAAATTGAATTCATTTCTAAGATAATATAATAATACACACACATGTGAAATTAAAATTTGTTTTCTTCACTATTTTTATTAAAACGACAATTTAAAAAAAAATGATTGTCTCTGAAGAAAAATACTATACTGTTTGTTATGTATGTATATTAAGATTATTTAATTTGACCTCAATACATATCTAACGTACACATTTTACTTTTTTGAAAACGGTTATATATCCTGTTTTATTATAACTCACCTCGTATATTATAATGTCAGCAGAATTTAGTTGTTTGATAATAATTAAGATTATAATTAACTCTTTATTACTATAAATTATTATTAATATTGAAAATATATCTATATTAATTTAATCTCTCTCTTTCTTGCCGTTCTGAGATGTTACCGAGAAATGCCAATGTTCGACAAGCGATATCATAATAAGCATGCTATGAAAACAATCTTAAAAATTAAAATAATATAAAACCAAATTAATACGTGTCTTAACAGTTATTAAACACAACAAAATGCTAATACATTTTATGATTAAGTAACTCTCTTTATATATTTAATTAATAATATTTAAAATGTATTTTAGTGCGATTAAAAAGTTGTATTCTCTTCTCTCTTATTTTTTCTTGTAAGCTAATATCCATCACTGTTTGTACCTTAATTTATTGGCTCTAATTGTAGATTTATGGTATTCATAATGTCCAAAATATTTTATAAATACAATAAAAAGGAAAAAACTAAATAGAATTAAATTTTGTAAAATTATATCATAAAATATATGTTATATAACTTTGTAGTTTTGTATAAGTACTACATAAATGGTAAAATATTATACTAGTAAAAAAATGTGTACAAGTAAAGACGTAACGTTTTAAGATAATTTATTCTTGAATTTATCAAGTTTTTCATACACACACAGATTTTTATTCGTATATGCCATTATTTACTATTATACCAATTCTAAAAGTGTTATGGACTTAAAGTTTTTAATAATTTCGATATAATTTTAATTCTTAATCATTTAAAGATATTTTAGTTCAAAATTTTTAAGTATAGTTGTTATATAGAAGTTGATATCATATGCATTATATTTATTAACTTGTTATTTAAAAAATGTTCGATTTTTAGTATAAAAATTTAGATGCGTCAGATCAGTTTGCGAATTAAGAGAATAATTTATTACGTTAAAAAACCTTGATATTAAACGAAAGAATTAAAACATGTATTTAGTTGTAAGCTTTGAATAGAGAAAACAGTATTATTTGTTTTGAGTTTAATCTGATAACAAAATTGTACATTTGATCTAAATTTGATAAAGAAATATTAATACCAATATTAATCTAATCCAGTATAAACCTTTTAATTGTTGATTCTAATTTATTGTTGATTTTAATTGTTGATTCTAATTTATTTATTTAACATTTAATTTATATGTCAAGTGTTAGTTCCTTTCTTAATCTTCTCTTTTTTCACTTATTTAAATTATAATTGAAAAGAAGTTATTATAATTAAGAAAAATGAAATTATTATTAATTCTTTACAGATGTATTTCGATATACATCGAAATATAAAAAAGATCATGAATAAAATATATAATATAATAAACATCTCTTGTAGAAATCCAACGCCAAAGATCACGAAGTTAATTCCCCTGAAGTGGAAACCGATGAAAACAAATCTTCACTGGAAAATCTATACATAGGAAATTCGACTAAGATTATTACGAATAATAATCTTCTCTGGGAGAGAATGACATTCTGGAATGAACTAACACATCGAATAAAGTTCCATGGTGCGAATATAAGGAATTTTAAGGATAAGTAGTAATTCTCAACTTCATTACTGGCATATATTTTTATATATCGTGCAGGAAAATCCTTCAGTTGATTGTAAAAAGTCCAAGATGTTGAGATCTCTTGTGAAGAATTAATTATTAAAAATTATTTTTAAATCTGTTCTTGTTAGAATATTCACTCAATTAAATTTCAATTAAATATTTATAAACTATTTATGAATTTTATTATAAAATTTTACATTAAAATTATTTTAAATGCATGTTTCTAAAGGTATAAAATCACACAAATTTGCAATGTTTATTCTTTTTATTTTTTAAAAGTAAATCTTTTTTATAGACATTATTAACAATGCATATTTTTATCGTAGATAGAGTAAAATATTTTCTTAATTTTTATAAACTTTCTATCAAGAATAATTGCACAATGAGCACATGCTTTTTTACAGTAACATTATTACAATTTATGTACAATTTTTTAAATTAATTTTTCATCGCTTGTGCCGCAATTTGATGATAGGGATATGTAAATATATTGATTGTCTAAAATTAATAATTCTTCTTTTTTATAATAAAAGAAGTAGAATTTAATATAATATATGATAAATAATGAAATACAAATTTTATAATATTATTTGTATAACATTATTTTTGTTAGTATTTCATGAACACTAAGATAATATATCTATAATGATTAAAAAGAAGATATAATATTTATAGATAATCAGTCTTCTTGTGTTCATGAAATTTGTCACATTACACGTTTATACGTACATAGACAAACATATATATTTAATAATAATTAATAATTAATTTATATTATGTCAGTTAGAATAACATACTAAATGTGTGACATATAAGCTTTTTGATAATGTTAATATAAACTTAATTCTTAATTTATTTTCCATGAATTATTTTTTTATTTTACAAAGTCTTTCTATTAATTAAAAGAATTAAAATATGTAATTTTTGTGAATTTTTTGAATTGAATAATCAGTACGCTGTCTGTATTGAAGTTAATCTAACAACAATCTTTTAAACTCTCTTTTTAAATTCTAAATTCGACGAAGAAATGTTAAGTCAATTAAAAAACCAAATCAATCTGTTGAATCTAATTTAGTACAGAACTTCTAACATTTTATTTTAATCTATTTATTTATTATGGATTTTAATTTATGTGTATCATCTGCTTGTGTATCATCTTCATTTTTTACGCTTTTCTTTCTAGAATTATTATAGTTATTATAAAAAATTGTTAGGGATTTATTTTACCACTACCGCGCCGCTATAATTGTTGCTATTAAAACTATTTTTCTGTTTTCCTCAAGTTCCTTTTTGTATATTGCGTCACAGATATAGTTCACTCTCTACCTTTTGTATTATTTATTTGAATGTGTTATTTCTGCTGCAACGATTATTTGACACTCATTCAATAACTCTATTTTATATTATGTTTTTCTTGTATCAAGTTGAATAAATTTACATCTACCAGCACGTTGTGTTTCATACTCTGCTCTATAAAAATAATTATGATTAAGCATTAACTCTATGTCTTTATGATTAATATTTTAAGAACGTTTTATAAAATTTCTATAATAATTGTGAAATATTTTAAACGTGATTTACAAATCAATTCATCTTAAAAGAAATATTTTTTTTTAATTATCGCATATAAGTAATACTTTAAAAAATAGAAAAATTATAAGAAAAATCGTTAATTGTAAAAAACTTGCAAAAAAAGAAGACGCGATAATATTTACTATCCTGTTTTGAATAGAAAACTTTTAACTTTTGAATAGAAACGTTAGAAATAGAAACATTAACTCTTTAACTTTTTATTATAATTTTATTCAATAACTATATTTATTATATAGTATATAATTCAATAACTATACTATTGTCGCTTATTATATACCTATTTTTTATACGTAAATGCATATTTTTAAACAGAATAAATAAAGAAAAACAAAAAAACTGTTCACAAATATATATATATATATATATATATATATATATATATATATATATTACATTTCATTATACCTTCCTAATTTGATTAATCATCCAAGCCTTTTGTAAGAATATCTTTTTTCGTTAAGTGTCGAAATTCATATAACTGATTCTTTATTTGATTCCAACGTAGTTCTAATTTGCGCCATATGTATGTTATTTTATTTTCCGTATACTCTGTCTTAAAAAGCAAAGATTTATTCACCTAAAACAGATTATTTTAACATTTATTTTCAACAGTAATTTTTTTTGTACAATAAATATATTTCATAATTTCTGTCAGCATAATTAGGATAAGATAACAGTGATACATATATCTAAAAATAAATAAGCTTAATAAGACATTAATAATTAAATATATCTATATAAACCTTATTATTGTTTTGATCATCATAATCACAATTAAGCAGAGAGCACATTAGACTATTCATCAAATGAATTTCCTTCTTTATCTAAAAAACATATTTTTTAGATTAAAATGTAAGTACATAAATAATTTTTTACCTAGTAATGTAATAAAAATTGATATGACATAACGTGTCTTTAATGTAAATACGTTACAAAACGTTTATCCGAAAAAACTTTGATTCGATTTGACTTTGGGTTTATGTAAGAACATATCAACAAATTAAATTAAAAATTTTTTTTAAATAGTATTGTACAATAATTGTAGATACATTATTATATAATAAATCATAGAATGTAATACATTTTTTCCTTTCATATACAGAGTTAGGAAAAAGTCTGGATACCTCTTAATATTTCGAAAAATACGTATTTAAAAAAAATGTATTTAAAAAAAATGTTTCATACAAAAGTTATAGGATTTTATGTGGCATATTACACAGCAACATTATTATGACCTCGAATAGCGTTGTCAAGGTTATGTGAAGGTCAGCTTTAATTTTCTAAATGGAACCCCCTATTTTTCAATGTATATTCTTATAGCTTACCTCGAGAGCTTTTCAGAACACTTTAATAAATTATTTTTCCATAAAGTACTTTTCGAGTTATGAGGTTTGAAATCATTTCTTAATTTTGCATAAACCATAAAATATCTTGTAAAATATTCATTTTGGGTTATCTTACCTTAATATTTTTATGTATAAAATAATGAGAGGAATCAATTAGTGTAAAGAAAACACATAGTTGTTTCTAAAAAAAAAATATGTAATTTGCAATTAACAATTCCATATTTTTTCTTAAAAACAACTGTATCTTTTTTTTACACCAATTGATTCTTCTCATTATTTTATACATAAAAGTATTAAGGTAAAATAAATGAAAAATGAATATTTTACAAGATATTTTATGGTTTTAATTATTTTATGTAAAATTAAGAAATGAATTCAAGTCTTATTATTCGAAATGTACTTCATGGAAAAATAATTTATTATAGTGTTTTGGAAAGCTCTCGAGGTAAGCTACAATAATATGCAATGAAAAATAGAGGGTTCTATTTAAAAAATTGAAGCTGACCTTCACATAATCTTGATAACGCTATTCGAGGTTATAATAATGTTGCTGTGTAATGCGCCACATAAAACCCTATAACTTTTGTATAAAACATTTTTTTTAAAAATGCGTAATTTTCGAAATATTAAGAAATATCCAATATATATATATATATATATATATATATATATATATATATATATATATATTGGATATTTCTTAATATTTCGAAAATTACGCATTTTTAAAAAAAATGTTTCATACAAAAGTATATATACATATATATATACTGATAGATGAGTTTCAAGGAATAAATAAACAATTATATTTCTATGCATGTATGTGTGTCCACAATTTTCATATGCATATGAGATTTTAAAATTTACCTTTTCAATTTGTTTCTCAGAATATACGTGGTTAATAATGATAGTTAATGCTGTAAAAAAACTGATTTCTCTATAAAAACAAAATAATAGATTTATATAATATGATCCAATAAAATATGATTTCTTTTGTACCTCGAATGTAAACAGTCATTTCCGATGTATTTTTACTTGATGAACACGATTTCTAAATCTGATTATTACATAATAGATTTAAGTAAAATAGCATCAAAAAGCCTAAATGGACGAATTTGAATTTTCTTGACACAAACAAATGCATTTGAAATATGAAAGTTAAATTGTTGCATGACATTCTAAAAAAATTAAGACAAAAAATTTGATACCACGACAATGTCACGAAAATCCTCAAAATCATAGTCTTAGCATCTTTGACGTCGTTTTCTCACAATTAATGCATAATAGCCAAATTTGGATAATGGATTCGTGTTCAGCAGGCAAAAATTCATTGAAAATGAATATTCATACATGTTTTACAAAAATAATGTTGAATAGTGTAATTAGCAAATAAAGCAAATCTTTATGTATAAGTATATACTGTATATTTATAAAAAGTAATATTATTTACTCAGGTTTTATATCTTCTAAATTTCTTAAGATGAAATGAAGCATTATGTCATTCTTTGCATGCCTTGCAATAATAGAACAAAAACTCTGTATATGGTGGAGAACTTTTGCTTTTTGCGTAATAAAGCCAAATTTCATTACATACAAATACTCGCGAATGATAAAAGAATGTTTGGAGCAAGCTAGGAATTTTAAAACACTATAATCCGATTTTATCCAATACATACGAAATACTTTCTTCCAAAAATTTTTACTCGTTATTTTCAAACCATTACAGAATGTCCATTCTTTCCATTCTCTCCAAATTCTATGATATTCAAAATAAAATAAAAATAAATTATTAGAATTTGTATATCTTGATTATATATGAATCATAAAATATTTTACACGATACGAGAAAAAATTTATAAAATGATAGTGATAAAAAGAGTGCAAAGAATAATTACTCGTATAATAAATTTTTATTATTATTTGAGACATATGACATTAATTCATAATTGGCTCTCATCAAGCAAGAGGCATCGTCCATGATACATAACCATCTTGCAATCTCTTCTTTCAAATAAAAGAGATCGATATTTTGATTGATTTTATCTGCTTTAAAATTAGGATATCCAATTTTCGACATAATCTTAATTAATGGTTGTTTTATCTCCGTCTAAAAATTATGTAAATAATATATACAAAATCTTTATATGTTTAGACAATTATCATAGAAGAAAAAAGAAAGAGTTTGCGTGCATGCACGTATATTATCATTTATAAAAAGATATGCAAATAATTTAATAATAATCTTACGATTAAAAAAAATGATAATGAATGCATGATTACATTACTTATAGTTACTACAATTATATCACACTAGCACTTACACTTACTTAGTGCAATTTGATATTATTTATTTCTTAAAATTAAAAAATTATTGGATAAAAATTTAGAAGTGGAAGTTGTTTCGTGAACTTTTTGAAGAGTTAATTATTATGTGCTCGTCTATTTTATCAAAATTAATTTTGAAAAATAAATATGTATGAATTATTATACTTATACAAATTAATTTTAATTAATATAAAACACATTTTTTTAATTTAAACAAACTATTATTATTTATACCTTTATAAGAGCGCTTTCTGGAAATGCAAAAAAATTCGATATATATTCCAAGTTTTTGAACATAGGATACCATGCGATATAATCTGTATCATGCTGTAGATATTGTGAAATTTTCAAGAATACAGTCCAATTAAGTTGGCCTGACATCACAAAATGAAATGTGTCATCGATGATTTTAGCACGATTGAGAAAATGTAATAGTCCAAATAAATATTTATTGTTTAAGTATGTTGAAAGTCTATTCCAATTTTCGGCATCATAATTGACACGATAATATCCTGTCGAAAAATAAATTGTATCAATAAATTATTAAATTGTTTTGATTGAATTTATCAAGTAATACTTTGAAATATCTGTTTAAATATCTTTTATATTTGTGTATTTGTTTGTATATTGTTACATTCATATATGTTATATATTGTTATATTTGTATGTTGTTATATTTTGTTGTATTTGTATTTTTATCATTTTCATAGCGTATAAAGAAATCTATTAGAAATTATGATTACTACATGTTTACTAAAAAGTAAACTATAGGTTATCAGTATAATTATAATTGACATACTGATAAATCAATATATTTATAGAGGCAAAAAGCATTATATCAATTTAAATTTATTTTTATTCATGATAACCAATAATAGTAACCAAAGTATATTACATGTTTTGTTGCGTGTAACACTATATCGTATGTACATATCTTAGATCGGATTTTTAATATGACATAATCAAAGTACCATTCTGATTAATTTTACTCAAAATCCTACTGTTACAATGATCTTAACTTTTAACTTTCTTTTTGCGTTTATTGTGCTTGAACAATATTGGAAATTTGGCCAATTTGGTTACTCAAATCTCCAAAACTGCTCCTATGCTTCATCATAAAGTTTTTTGAAATTAATGTACCATATTGTTTGTCATACAAATTGATTCGAATTTCAAGGGCCACAAAATAGACGAATTTGGAATAATTATTTTGGCTTATATAATAAATGTATAGACTTAACTTTCAATTCTAGATTTTTAACAAATCCTTCTTTACATTCCTGAAGAAGCGTAGGCGAGAAAAGTAACGAGATAATTCAGTGAATCGGGAACCGAACCCGAGTCTTTCGCCTACATTTCTCAAGAAAGAGGAAAAGAAGAATAAAAAAAATCTCGAATTGAGATTTAAATATACACTTACAATTAGTATGTAGACCAAAAAAAAATTTGAATCTCGTTCTCAATCAGTTTCATCAAAAAATTAATATTCGATGACTTACTACTTGCATCTGGTTCTTATTTGCAGCGAAATAGAAAGAATGAAGATATGCTATTTCAATAATAATAGCACAAAATGTTTTGCACATTCTTTAAATACTCTATACATATTTTGCCGCATATAAAGTTAGTTATATTTATATGGCATTTAATACTTTAGACTTTTAAATTAAAAAATATATATATAAATAAAAATTGAATAAATATTGTTACGCTCGCGGCGAGGACTTCGATTAATATCGAAGGCGCGCACTAATGAATCAGCCGCTTGCGAGACGCGTGAAATAAATAAGCACTTTTAAAGAAGCAAAGGAACTTTAATGCAACTCAAGAACACAAACGATAACGTTAATAACACAGAATAATAATGCAACGGATCGGCTCGAGAGAAAACGCGTCCGCACAGCAAGACAGCTCCAAATTCAGCTGACAGTCGTTGTTGACAAACAATCTTCCTGTCAACGGGATCCGGACAACGGCAGAACCGTAACGACTCGGGAGCGCGCGTAACAATATGATAGAGGATAAATGTTTCTATAAAATATATACATATAAGAACAATAAATGTATCGATCTATATTTACCACTTTCTTTTGAATCGACTAATATCCAGTCATTCTTAATTAAGGAATCGAAAGTCAGCGTATGATTTGAAATATGTGGTGGCATTAGCCATACTGGACGCAAAAATTTCACCGAATTGTAATGCGTTTGCGTAGTAATGCTCACAGGTATCGATATATTTGTATTAAAATTTTCTACCGATATATTCAAACTGAAAGTATTATAATCTCTTTTCACATTTACCACAGGATAGTGATTTAGTTCTGCCCAACTAGGTATTTTGTCTTTTATAATATAATTGTATTTAACTCTCAAAGATGTATTATAAAGTGCAGTCTGCATAACTATCCAGAAATCATTAATGCCCATGTACCTAAAAATCCAAACAGGAATTGAATGATAAGAAAAGATAAATAAAAGAAAATATATAGTTGAAAAAGTATTGAAAAACAATTAAGAAATTTAAAGAAAAGAAATGTAGAAAAAGGAGGGACAGAATAAAATCAAACAGAATTGGAAAAATCGGAAAAATATTAACAGCAAATAATAGAAAAGAATAAATAAAATAATAGACAAAGAAGATAAGTATGTTACATGGAGTGCGAAAAAAAATATATAAATAAAAGAGATAAAAGAAGTGAGAAAATTTAAAAAACTAAACAAAATTATAATATTAGGGAATGTAGGAAAAGAAGATGTAAAAAAAGAATAAAGAAAATTGATAAAAGATTAAGATAATAAGAAAGAAAATAATAATAAGATGGAAGATAATGAAATAGAAATTAAAAATTAAAAAATATAAAATTAACAAGTCTTGAAATTACTAATAGAAATTAAATGTAAAAAAAGGTAGGAGCAAAAGAGAATAGAGGAATAAAAAAATAGATGGAGAAGTAAAAATACATATCAAAAATTAAAACATAAAAATAATTATAAAAAAACCAAATTAAAATAACATTAAAAAATGTATGTTTAAAATAATAATGTAAATATATTGTAATCTATACTCACTGTTTTTGTAAATATCTTCTGACACCATTTTCAAACATCTTTTTGGTGAGTGTATTTTGCAACGTGTGCAACATAATGCTCACTACGAAAATTCACATCGTAAAGTATAAAATGTAATATTTATAAATAAATTTAAATTCATAAACACAACTGAATTACATATGATAAAGAAAAATAAATATTTTAAGTCATTTTTCTTCTTATAATTTTAAAATTATATATAGCAATAAAGAATTTATGACAATAAATTATTTGCTTGATTATACCTTTAATGTTACAAGGTAATTCAAACGAATTATTGAACTGTGATTTAACCGGCCATGTGTCTTTGGTACTCCAGTGAAGAACATCATGTTGCATTTGAATTACAAAGAAATCCTCTACCCTAAAGTGTGGAAAAATCTGGACGAAAAGATTTTAATATAATTAAACAAATATTTAATTATAAGAAATGCTCACACATAAGCATTAAGAACTATTATAATATATTAAAAAATATTAAAAAATATTTACGAGCTCATTTGCTCTTTAAGTTTTTTTTGTTAAGTTTAAGAAATTTATTCAAAAGTACCTGCAATTATATGTAATAATATATAATAATATTATATGCATAATTTATGCATTTCTAAAGTTATTTACAGATACATATGTAAATATATGTAAGTATAATATTTTAATTTATTATTACTTTACTGACAAATTTTGGCTCAATCGTTATAGAGTACAAATTTTTATTTTTAATTTTATAAAAGAATATTCTTCCGATCTAAATTAGTATATTATGAATGATACAAAGTATTTATAAAGATTTTGGAATGAAATTTATTGGATACATAAAATTCTTAATATTTTTATATCACTCTGATCGAAATTAATTAAAAGAATTAACGCTAAATATAAATAATCTTATTGACGCTAAATATAAATAACCTTATTGACGAAGTAGATTCCAAGGAATGTAGCAAAACTTTTGCTTAAACACGGATCCCACTTATATGGAAAGATTTCATTATAAAAAAACCATTCGTGCATCATTTTATGTCCTATTATTCGTATTATTTCAAATTTGCGCATCTCAGGATCTATATCTTGATTAAAGATAATATCTGCTTCACTAAAAATAATTTACAAATATTATAATAAAGTAGGGAAAACCTGTTATATATATGTAAATCAATTATATCATAAATTAATTATGTTTCAATTAAATTATATTTTAGTTAATACACACAGATATCAAATTTTGTAATACTGAATATTGAAAAAAAAATATGTGTTTTAATGTAGAAATTAGTATATTTTGTAAATCAAAATATGCTAATGTTTACTTATGAAGAATGAGTCCCAATTTTATCTCTTCCATATCTAACAACTTCGGAGTAACGAGATGATTTGTTTTTCTGATATACGGAAATATATTTTTTAATAATTGCGCAATTTTTTGAATAATCGTGTATGCAAATATCATAGTTTGTAGTTTCAAGTCTGTTCTGCACCACAATTTGACATTCTGACTTGTATCTAGAATAAAGCCGAGAGGTACCACACTCGCCGCTATGAAATAATCAGGCATTATTGGAGTACTTTGGAAATGTGTCCACATCATATTACTTTTGTCTATATTCACTGCTATTTCGGGCATATTTGATAAAGCCGTGTAATTTTTATGATGCTTTATAGAAATGTTATAACTAACACTTCTAGTATTCTTCAAGAGAGGAAATAATCTTCGAGTCGCAAATGTTTTATAATGCGTTGCGGCAAACCACCTAGTATATATAAAAGTACATGTTAAATAACATAATTTTTCGTTTACTATTAAAGTATTAGAAATTTTTAAAAAAAGGTAGAAATAGAAAAATATTAATGTATCTTAAGAAAAATGCTGGAAGAATAGTTGTAACATATTTTGTATTAGTATTGTATCATTATATTATGTTTTTAATATATTATTTAATATAATATATCCTAAAAATTTTGTACGATATAATATTATACATATATTATATCTTCCTGATGTTATACATACATATATTATATAATGCATTATAATATTTATGTGCATAACAATATATTCATAATATTTTCTAGAATATGTACATATAAATAATGTAAATATAATATGAAATGTTACAGTATATATTTTAATATTTAAAATTCCATCATATTTATGTATGATTAATATCTTGCATTAAAAAGTTGTTGATAATAAAAATATATGCTTCCGCAATTCAATAAATAATTTTTCTGATTTAATTATTTATTAGACAATTTTTTGCGAACTTTGAGAGAGAGAAAGAGAGAGAGAAAGAGAGAGAGAGTGAGAAATGTGTTTAAATAACAATAAACTAAATCACACGAAATATGTTAAAACTATGTCTTGGTACTAATAATGTGAATTGTTTGCAAAGAACTCAAGCAAGAAACAAACTTTTATAACACATATAGCACATAGCTTTTATAACACAGATAACACATATAGCTAATTATTTAATGTCTTAAAAATTTCTTACACTCTATTATATTGTTGATTTAAGTAAAAAGTTCTAAAGCCTCCATTTTGAGCTAAAAGTCCAATAAACTTCATATTCAGAGTGTGATATCCTCGTGGTAAATCATATGGAAAAGAAATGCGGGTTCCATATATTTCAATTTCATGGATTAAATTCTTAGGTCTATGGACAAAAACTTTTTCTTCCTTTTTTTTAGATATTTGTAAATTTTCTGTTACCAAAATTTCAGTTATACCCAGATTTTCCGCGTAAATGTGTATATGTGGCATTTCATAAGGAATATAAATGCTGACATTGCATTCGCCGTAGAATATATCGTCGTTGACATATAGCATAAATTTGATGTAGTAACGTAACGGTAATATATCGAGTGTCACCATTGGTACAGACGAATCAAAATTATCATTAAAAACAGCCATCGCTACGATGAATATTAAATTGCAACTTAACACTCTCAAGAATGCCATGTCACTCATTCGTTTCAAATATCTAGAAAATAAACACATCTTTTTTTCTTGAGAAAGGAGACTTATTGCTTTTATTACATATAAATAAAAAAAAGTAAATAAAAAATATTATATCTCCTTGTAATAATAAAATATATCCTTAGAATAAAAGAATTATAATCTTTCATTATATATTTAATAAACGCATTTGCTTTAATTTAATTTTATTAAATTTAAGCAAATGCGTATCACAATACACATTTAGTAAGTAATCGTTTTATTTAATTTTAAATTAAATTGAAGTCATTTCAAAAATAATACAATAATATGCACATCTCAAATTAGAATCTTCTCTTTTTAATAGTTTTAATAATGGAAAAAAGACTGTCTTGTTTAGCGAAATATAACTATGCTTGTTATATGTTTGTACCTCGAAATTATTTAATTTGTCCTCAGCGTATATAATATGTACACATGTTATTTCTTTTTTTTTTAAATAGCTATGTATTCTGTTTTATTACAACTTACCTTGTATATTATAATGTCAGCCGATCAAAAATTAATTTTCTTTATTAGATAATATATAATTAAGTATAATTAACTCTTTATTATTTCAAATTTTATTAATATCGAAAATATATTTATATCGACTTGATCTTGCTGTTTCGAGATACTATTGAGAAGTGCCAACGTTTGACATGTAATATCATAATAAACACGTTATAGAAACAACTTTGAAAATCAAAATAATATAAAATTAGTTTAATATTTGTTTTACCAGTCAATAAACACAATAAAATGTCAATATATGATTAAATCTAATAAACTTTCAGATATATATATATATATATATATATATATATATATATATAAAATCTTAAAATAATTTTGAAACTTAATTTAGAATAATTAAAAAATTGTATTCTCTCTATACTTTTATTTTTTCCTATGAGCAAACACTCCAATGTTTTTTCCTATGAATATCACTCCGTTTATATATTAATTTATTGGCCCTACTTGTAAATTTCCAGTAAATATCCAGAATTAATAGTTTCTTATTGAATAAATAGAACATAAAGCAGATTTCAAAAGAAAAATTCGAAATAAATTTTAGAAATAAATTTTGCAAATTGTGTAGTAAATGTTATATAATTTACGTATTTTTGTAAGTGTACATAAATATTAAAATATTGTACCAGTAAAAAAATATATGCAACGGAAAATAAAACTTTTTAAAATAATTAATTTTCAAATTTATCAAATTTTTCATATTACAAGATTTTACATATATGCTATATATTTATTATAGTTATGCTAATCCTAAAAATGTATCAAGAATTGTAGATTCAATGTTTTAAGACGACTCAGTTGCTTACATTCCCGACGGTCAACTGCCTTGTTTGCGCACATTTTACCGATAGCTTTTTTGCCATCATTCCCAATTGCCTTCTATTATTGCATACACGAAAGAAATGAAGATACGAAAGTACGATTACATACATGACATTATTCCACACATACATATTGCACACATGGCATTATGGTATATATAAAATAAAAAGATCCTATTATTTTATTTTTATTTAATCTCGAGGATTGATTTCACTCAGTGATTTGGATCTGATTATACACAAGAGTCAGAATAAACATACTTATATAATTTAATATATATCTTATATATTTTATCTTTTATTTCAGAAATCGAAAATATTTTATAATTTGTAATGAATATTATATACAATTGCTAGCTCCTTGAAATTGCCTAAGAATTGCAAAAATCTTAATCAGAATGTATGTACGTAATAGTCTCAAGTCTCAAGTAGATAGAGATTTGCTTTAGAATCGACATAAAGTTGCAGTGTCTGCGAACAAATCTTTCTTATTATTTGGTGAACAAGTTAATTCCTTTAATACAAAAGTAATAATCATAGCAAGCTAGAAATATAGGCTGTCTAACCTAATAATATCCACAAAACACGAAATATTTAAAACTATTTACAAAGGACGTCAAAAATTATCGAATCTTATGAAGAATATTAAACAACGACAAATAATTAAATTTAATTAAAGAAATGAACTAACACTTGACATATAAATTAAATGTTAAATAAATAAATTAGAATCAACCGTTACAAGGTTTATACTGGATTAAAATTAGTATCAACATTACTTTATCGAATTTAGATCAAATTGACAATTTTGTTATCACATTAAACTCAAAACAAATAATACTGTTTTCTCTATTCAAAGCTTACAATTAAGTACATTTTTAATGTTTTTGATTAATATCAAGACTTTTTAACGTAATAAATTATTCTCTTAATTCGCAAACTGATCTGACGCTTCTAAAGTTCCAACAAGTCCATCAAGTTTTAACATAAAAAATCGAACAATTTTTTAATAACAAGTTAATTATAATGCGTATAATTAATATTATTATTTAAAAGTTTTAAACTAAAATATCTCTAAAAGATTAATAATTAAAATTATATCGAAATTATTAAAAACTTTAAATCCATAACACATTTAGAATTGATATAATAGTAAATAGTGGCATATACGAATAGAAACTTTTGTGTGTATGTATAAATAACTTGATAAATTTAAAAATAAATTATCTTAAGACGTTACGTTTACTTGTACACATTTTTTTATTATACTAGTATAATATTTTACGATTTATAATACTTTATTAATTATATGCATTATAATTAACTTGTTATTAAAAAATTGGTCGATTTTTGACGTTAAAATGGAACTTAAGAAGCGTCAGATCAGTTTACGAATTAAGAAAATAATTTATTACGTTAAAAAGTCTTGATATTAATCGAAAGCATTAAAATATGTACTTAGTTGTAAGCTTTGAATAGAGAAAACAGTATTATTTGTTTTGAGTTTAATCTGGTAACAAAATTGTACATTTGATCTAAATTCGATAAAGAAATGTTGATACCAATAATCCAGTATAAATCTTTAATCTAATCCAGTATAAATCTTTTAATTGTTGATTCTAACTTATTTATTTAACATTTAATCTATATGTCAAGTGCTAGTTTATTTCTTAAGCTCCTCTTTTTTCAATTATTTAAATTATAATTGAAAAGAAGTTATTATAATTAAGAAAAATGAAATTACCATTAATTCTTTACAGACGTATTTCGATATACGTCGAGATATAAAAAAAAGATCATCAATAAAATATATAATATAATAAACATCTTTTGTAGAAATCCAACGCCAAAGATCACGAAGTTAATTTCCCTGAAGTGGAAACCGGTGAAAACAAGTCTTTACTGGAAAATCTATACATAAAAAATTCGGATTAATAAGATTATTATGGATAATAATCTTCTCTAGGAGAGAATGACAATCTGGGAGCTAACACATCGAATGAAGTTCCATGGTACGAATATAAGGAATTTTAAGGATAAGTAGTAATTCTCAACTTCATTGCTGGCATACATTTTTATATATCGTGCGGAAAGATCCTTCAGTTGATTGTAAAAAGTCCAAAGAGTTGAGATCTCTTGTAAAGAACTGATTTTTGAAAATTATTTTTAAATCTGTTCTTGTTGGAATATTCATTCAATTATATTACAATTAAAACTTTACTTATGAATTTTATTATAAAATTTTACATTAAAATTATTTTAAATACATGTTTCTGAATGTATAAAATCACATAACGAATTTACAAAGTTTATTCTTCCTATTTTTTAAGAGTGAAACTTTTCTTTAGATATTATTAACAAGGCATATTTTTATCGTAGATAGAGTAAAATATTTTCGTAATTTTTGTAAACTTTCTATGAAGAATAATTGCAAAATGAACACTTGCTTTTTTAATTTTTACAGTAACAATATTACAATTTGTGTACAATTTCTTTATTAATTTTTCGCTTATGCCGCACTTTAATGATAGGGATATGTAAATACTTTCAATATATTGATTGTCTAAAATTAATAATTTTTCTTTTTTATAATAAAAGAAGTAGAATTTAATAGAATACACGATAAATATTGAAATACAAATTTTATAATATTATTTGTATAACATTATTTTCGTTAGTATTTCATGAACACTAAGCTAATATATCTATAATGAATAAAAAAAGATATAATATTTATAGATAAGTCAGTCCTTTTGTGTTCATGAAATTTTTCACATTACACGTTTATACGTACATAGACAAACACATATATATCTAATAATAATTAATAATTAATTTATATTATGTCAGTTAGAATAACATACTAAATGTGTGACATATTAACTTTTTGATAATCTTAATATAAACTTAATTTTTAATTCATTTTCCATGAATTATTTTTTTACGTTATAAAGTCTTTCTATTAATCAAAAGAATTAAAATACGTAATTTGTAAAAATTTTGAATGAAATAATCAGTACACAATCTGTATTGAACTTAATCTAACAACAAACTTTTGAATTCTCTTCTTAAATTCTAAATTTGACTAAGAAATGTTAAGTCAATTAAAAAACCATTTCATTCTTTTGAATCTAATTTAGTACAGAACTTTTAACGTTTTATTTTAATCTATTTATTTATTTTAATTTTAATTTATGTATTATTCGCTAGTTCATTTTTTTTAATCTCTTCTTTTCTAGAACTATTATAGTCATAAAAAATGGTTAGGGATTTATTTTACTACTACTATGCCACTATAGTTAAAACTATGATTGCCTTTTTTTTGTTTTCCTCAAGTCCCTTTTTGCATGTTGCGTCACAGATATAGTTCACTCTCTACCTTTTGCATTATTCATTCGATTGTGTTATTTTTGCTGCAACGATTATTTGACATTTATTTAATAACTCTATTTTATATTATGCTTTGCTTGTATCAAATAGAATAAATTTATATTTACCAGCACGTTGTGTCTCATACTCTGTCCTATAAAAATAATTATCATTAAGCATTAACTCTTTATCTTTATAATTAATATTTTAAAAATGTCTTATAAAATTTCTATAATAGTTGTGAAATATTTCATATGTGATTTACATAAGGACATCAATTCATCTTGAAAGAAATATTCTTTTTTAATTATCGCATACAAATAGTACTTTAAAAAATAAAAAAATTATAAGAAAAATTGCAAATTGTAAAAAACTTGAAAAAAAGAAGAAGTAAATAATATTTAATAGTATTTAAATAGTATTTACTATAGAAGAAGTAAATAATAAGAAGAAGTAAATAATATTTATCTTGTTTCGAATAGAAAACTTTTAACTTTTGAGTAGAAACGTTAGAAACAGAAACGTTAACTCTTTAACTTTTATTCTATTATGATTCAATAACTATATTGTCGCTTAGTATATATGTATTTTTTATACATAAATTATGCATATTTTTAAACGCAATAAATAAATAAAAATAAAAAAACTGTTTATATATAACTGTTCATATAAAGATAAATATACGTAGGCATTACAATTCATTATCTCTTCCTGATTTGATTAATCATCTAAGCTTTGTGTAAGAATATCTTCCAAGCTTTTTGCTAAATGTCGAAATTCATACAACTGAATT